CTGTTCCTTTCTTCCCAGACTTATGCATGAGTTGCTGTTGATGAGGTGTTATGGCCAGAAATGCAATAAAATATAAAGAAAATATGATTTTGTCACATTACTAAATAACACAACTCCACCTACGGCAGCTCAAACTCTTACTGCCCTCCTGTATTATATTTCCGTATTGCAAATGGAAGGAAGGAGACAAAAACTGAAACACAGAAGCTACCCAAAGCCACACATTTACTGATAAATAGACCTGACGATTTTCAATACGTATATGATGAATCATTCTTTCTCTCAACTTGAGCTCTATGCCAGACAACTAGGTGCCAGAATAAAGGCAAGGGTGGAAGATTTCCAGATATTACCAACTGTTGTTAATTTTTCAACTCAGATTATAACTAGACAAGAAGGGGGACCCACGATACTCACGGGGGGGGGAGAAGCTCCACGGGAGGAGAAGGAAGCAGCTGCAGGTGAGCCTTCTCCCCTGCCCCCCTGTCCCCGGCACCTATGGCGAGGCCCGCACCCCTCCAAGCCTTCTCCCCCCCCAGCACCAGAGGCGAGGCCTGAACTTAGCCCGCCTCCCCTAGCAGTGGCGGTGGTGAGGCCTGGCCGGCCCGCCAAACTCCCCCCCCCCAGCAGGCAGTGGCGACGGTGAGGCCTGGCCAGCCCACCAAGCTTTCTCCCTCCACCCCAGCAGCAGCAGTAGCAGCAGCGGTGAGGCCTGAGCTCGGCCCGCCAAACTTTCTCCCTCCCCCCAGGCAGCGGTGAGGGCTGAGCGGCTTACAGCCGCCAGCCAGCCAAACCTTCTCCCGCCCCCTCCCTGGTGGTGGAGCAGGGAATGGTCTTTTACTTTTGGGGGGATTTAAATATCCTCCCTATAATTTTTTTACAGTTTTTAGATTTTTCTGGGGATTGCCCCAAATGTGCAGGAAAATCTCCCTGCCCCCCCCAAGTGCCCCCGATGTGCAGATTTAGATATCCGCACAGAGGGAGCATGTTGGGAATTAGATATATAGCTTAACAAGCAAGGAATTTTCAGTGAGGTTTCAATTAGTTAATGTCTAAATGCACTTTTCTAATGAATACAGACAGAGCTTTTGTCCTGTTCTAAGGGCAGCTTTTGACATTACACTGTTCCAATGTCAGTATCCCTTTCTACTTGCATTCTGAAGAAAACACATCAAAGCAGTGCCAATAAAAGGTCCACAGAAGTGTGTCTCTGCCATGTGCAGTTGGAAAGTCTGAGATGCATGAATGGTTTCTGGAGCTTAACCAGTAGCTGTTCAGATTCACTTCTGTTCCATGATGGGTTAGGTTACTAAGATGTACATCTGTGGCTATTTTATAGCTACTTCCGTGTGTTTTTACAGCATTCATTGGGGAAAATAACTTAAGATACTGACTCTTTCATTCCCTCAATAACTTGATTCTGCAACAGAACAAATTTAGAGTCCAGTGGCACCTTTAAGACCAACAGAGTTCTATTCAAGGTATGAGCTTTTGTGTGCACACACACTTTCCCCAAATATACTGGAATGGAAGGTAAGGTTCAAACTTATAGATGGGCTGAACAGCAAATTAGTATGTAACATGAAGAAGATATGTTACATGTTAATCTGCTGCTTAGCCTAGGCTTACCAAGTCCCCCCGGGGGGCCTTTTGTGTGCACACACACTTTCCCCAAATATACTGGAATGGAAGGTAAGGTTCAAACTTATAGATGGGCTGAACAGCAAATTAGTATGTAACATGAAGAAGATATGTTACATGTTAATCTGCTGCTTAGCCTAGGCTTACCAAGTCCCCCCGGGGGGCAGGGAAACCCCTGCCCCAGAGGCCCGTTCCCCGCCGCCGGCGGATCGGGCCCCAGGGGGAACCCCACCCCCAAAGTACGCGATGTGCACGTCACCCGGAAGTGAAGTGACCACGCCGGGAACGCTGGGGGCGGGGCCACGGTCATCCGAGGGAAAACACTGTGGTTTTCCCTTGGATGGTCGTGGCCCCACCCCCAGCATGCCCGGCGTGGTCGCATCACTTCCGGGTGACGGGGTTGTGGTGTGTGCGTGCTTTGCTCGTGCGCCACAAACAAGCTGGGAGCCCCCCGCTCCAGCAGCAGGTAAGACTTGGCAACCCTACTGCCATGGGAGGTGGTGCTAATAACAAAATGGCTGTCGCACGAGGTGGGGCCAACCACAAAATGTCAGGGAGTGAGTTTATATGTTACTCTAATAATACCTCTTCAGCATTTCAGGTAGCAGCTCTATTTAACAGGATGCCTTTCAACCTGCACAGCCAATTGGAAGCCCTCCTAGGCAAAGCCCCTCCTAGCCTTGCCCACTTTCTAAAAGCACCTGATAGGTGCCAGGAAAGGTGTCAGCTGGTACCATGGTGCCGATGGGCATCACACTGAGGACCTCTATGGTACAGAGTAGGGTTTTGTTTACCCCCATCCCCCTGAATTTGAGGGGGTCAAGGAATGTGCCCCTCATGGATTATATTCCCCCAGCCCTAATTTCACCCGCTACTCCAGGATTGTTCAAACTGTGATCCAGCCAATCTCCTCTTTCTTATCTATTTCCCTTTTATCTTGACTCCACCTGACATCCAATGGTCCTGAACATCCCATGTCAACTGGTGGCAATTTCAGGGTTTCGTTGCCTTGTCTGTGGGTGGCCTCGTTTCACTGCCCTATTTACAGGTGTGAGATTATCACGTTTGCTATTGGAAGGCGTGCCATCCCGCCATTCTTGTGCAGAGGGCATTACAAAATTTCACAAGCACAGAAGGGGCCCTGCCCCCAAGCGTTTTACAAGTCCGTGTTTCCTAATGCAAACTCAGCTCTGCTTTCTCCAGTGTTGCCATACCTTAACATATATGTCTTCTTATAAATTGGCATGGCTGGTGAACGTCTGCAGAGTTCAGTGGAACGTCAGCATGTATGTGTAAAAATTATAAGACACTATTGGGCTTTCCAAAAATGCAGCAGTTCGAGTTAAAATATATATATATATCAGGGAACGAGTTAAGCTTCTGGGCGTCCCATTGACTTCACAGAGACAGCTATGAGCATGCTGAAATCTCTCTCTCCGATTTAATTCTATGGGGCTTTCACTTGGAGTGGATTGTGCCCAGGCGTCATTGTGGGCCTAAAATATTCTATAGGTGTATTCGGGGCGGGTAGCGTGGGGGGCGAAAGAATGGGAATGAAAAGATTCCGCACAGAACGGAAATACAGCAGGAGGAGGAGGAATCTAGTGTGTATTATCTCCATACTTGTTTTCTATTCAATTTCCATGCTTGAAGAACTAAAACCCTAATATGAAAGTTCTAAATTAAACTGTGTATATCAGGAGGCTAATAGTACTCTGTAGCATGTATAATAAACTGTCACTTTGCTTTCCCAACTAATCATTAATGAATTAATGAAAGGCTTTCTCTCTCTCTCTCTCTCTTTTTTGTACGCTGTAACATAATGAGATATACAGCATTTAGGGCTTTTAAAGATTTAGGGGCTCTATTATTGAAAAATAATTATTACCCTACAACAGTAATTAAATGTAATTT